GCGCAGTGGGGGTCGGGGGGCGCGGGGAGCTGGGGGCTGCGGAAGGAGGTCTGGGAAGGCGTCCCAGAAGAGGGGGTCCTGGGAGCGGGCCCTGACCGAATTCCTTGGAGGTCTAGGTGGGGGAGGAACAGAGGCATTGCGGCGTGAAAGCCCCGAGTAGGCACCGAGAATTTGGGGCGCACAGGGTCAGGAGAAATGTTGAAAGACAGCGGAGCCCAGATGGCGAAGGACCGAGAACGCCAGGCTCAGGAGCTCGTGCTGGGGCGCAGGCTGGGGGGAATCACCAGCCAGCGCTGCTACTCAGGAACGCCCGCCCCAGCGCTGCCCGCGCTAGATCGCCTGTAGGGGGCGCCAGGCCGACGGGGCGGCACTGGGCTGTGGTGCAGTCTGGGACCAGCAGGGGGAGCAGAGTCGCGCTGAGGCAGCTGGGCCGGGGGGCGGGGAACATTATGCAAACAAATGCAAATGAGCATCTGCCGGAGGCAGAGACAGCCTGGGCCTCCACTGGGCCGAGGGCGGTAGCCACCACGTGCAGGCGCTTCCGAGGCAATGCGAAGGAGGGCTTTGGCGCTAAATGGACAGAGCACGTCGGGCTTGGCCTGCCGGATGGCCTGGGTCCCAGTGCCCTGGAGTTCAAGGATTGGACCTATTGCCTCAATCTCCCAGCTTTTCCCAGCAGACACTTCCTCCAGGAAGCCTCCCTTCTTCTCCCATCCCATAAACTTCTCCTGCCTCAGATCCGGTTTCAGCCTCCGCGCTGGTCTCTTCCAGCCTCGTTCCCTCGGGGGTGTTCCCCACCCTGTCTCTGAACACTCTTTCCAAACACGGATCTCCACTGTTACGTCCCCAGCCCCACACGCCGCCCCCTCGCTCCCAGCATACACAGGCCTCCCTCCGGGCCCGCCGGGCACCCAGCTCCTTCTGGATGCTGCTGCCCCACGCTCCTTCTGCTGCCTCCCACTCCTCCCGGAGGCTGTTTACAAAATGCTTTCTTAGCAAGGACTTCTCCGACCCAGGTTGGATCAGGGAGTCCTAAGCACCCAGAGCTTCCTGGGCTCTTCCTCTGAAGATACCTTTCTGGAAGTAGTTATGTCTTTGCAGGATTGTTCCTAGTGCCCACCATACAGATGAAGAACATGGGCATCCAGCTAGTGCCCATATCCCCAGAACCTAGTACAGTGCCTGGCACCAGGCAGGGACTCCCTGTTTAAAAGCCGCTACCAAATCCATCCATTCGGTCCTTGACATTCATACACTTCACAGTCTGCCCACTGCTGACCCCTCCACCATCGGGCCTCCCATGCCAGGGTGTTTCTGCCAACAACCGAACACCCTGGGTCTTCCAGATTCCCCAGCATTTACAGTCTAGGTCTAGAATAGTGATAGCAGCTATCATTTACAGGTACCCACTATGTGCCAGGTACTTCACATGCACTATTTCTACACCCACAACAGCCCTGAAGAGCAAGTATTGTGATCCCCATTTTCCAGATAAGAAACCAAGGCTTGGAAGGGGAATTGATGGCAGAGGCTGGATTTGAACCTACTCCCTCTTCACTGCTGTACACAGATGCGTGGCAGTGTAGCATAGTGATGACCCCAGGGGCTCCGAAGTCAGATGGACCAGAGTGGCATCCTAATTCCACTACTCACATGCTGTGTAGCCTTGGACAGAACTTAATTTCTATGGACCTCAGTATCCTCATCTGTAAAATGGGAGTAATCCTATCTCCCTCATGAAGATCGGCTAGAGGATTAAATGAGATTACGTGGGCAGAACAGTTGCAACAGTAGCTGGCTGGAATAGGTGGTCAGTAAACAGCAGCTCACATTATAGTCATTATTCAACCACTATGCCTTCAAGTCTTCCCTGCCACCAAGTCCCCTGGCTCCCAGGTAACACCTTCATACCCCTGTCAGCGAGCTGGTCAGTGTGGCCTGTACATTTGTCTCCCCATCAGAGTGGGAGCCCCAAGAGGCACAGTCTCTTTCTGTTCAGTGTGTCCACCACCCGGCACGGCACTGGGTCTTGAGAAGAGTGGGGTAAGTGACTTAGAGGCTGACCACTCCCTTTGTGACGACCCTTCTCCTGGGTCTCCTAATTAATTGTCTGGAATTGCTGCTCACTCATGGTTTCACTGGAGCCGACTTGTCATTAATCAGGCACTAAGATTTGCAGAGCTCTGTCTGCACCAGCTGTCTGGGGCTGCCAGGCCACCACAAAGGAAGCCAGGACCTATATAGCAGACACCAACCAGAAAAAGGTCCTGAGGACGCCCAAGGAATGATGCTGGCTTGATTGATGCCTTGGGCAAGGTGGCACCAGCAGGACTGAAATTTACCACCAGTACACACCAGTGGAACCACACTAGGTGGTAGAACATAAACACCCCTCCAGATTGGTTGGTATCCACTCAGTCCCTGGGTGATCCTTTACCACCTTGGCTACCCTTGCCCTTCCATCAGGACCCCCAGAACTCCCCCAACATCCAGCAACTAAAGAATTAATACCTGGCCCACAGGAGACAGCGACAAACATTAAGGCTTTTCCCCAACCTCCAGCCATAGGTATAAGGACAGCATCACATCTCAGGGCAGCCCATTCTACCCAAGCTGGAGAGAGCAGACCCAGACCCTTAGCAAGAGGAGAAGCCAAAGTCACCCAGCAGGGGCTGGGTGGGTTGGAAGGGGGAGCAGTCAGCAGACCTGAGGGACCAGAAGGAAAGGGAGCAAGAGCTTATGCAAAGCTGCATGGCAGGATTGGTGAGGGCACATTTTAGGGATGCTGGAAAGGCTGTTCTGGCTAGAGCAAAGGATGTGCAGAGGAGAAAACAATAACGGACAGTTGCTAACATTTACCAAGCACCAGTGACTTGCCAGGCCCTCGACCAAAGTCCCTGTCTCACTCTGTCCCTACCATAAGCCTTGTGAGGTAGAGGCTTAACACCTCCACCTGATGGGTGAAGAAACCTGTACAGGCTCAGAAAAAGCAGGCAAGGAACTGGATCGGTAAAATAGAACCAGAGCCCTGACTGTCTTCAATGCTGGGCTGAGGTGACGGGTGCTCTGGCAAGTTTTTGAAAGAAAGTTAATATGCAGTACACTAGAGTTGTACTAACAACGGACATTCTTATCAGGTCCTTAGATCTCATGAGATCACTATCACTGTACCCGTTTTGCAGACAAGTAACCTAAGCGTTAAGGCTAATTCCAGAACTGGAAGCCAGACCTCCCAGCTGGGAGTCCAGAGCCCTCTCAAAAGGCATCTCTGAGTGGTGGCCAGCCTGAGTACGACTCTACTTACATGCTGTGTGACTTGGGCAAGTCACTCCACCTCTCTGAGCCTCAATGGGTTGTGGTAAGGATGCACTGAGCTCATGGGTATAAGCACCTCAGTCTAGACTAAGGCTTCTTAGTGGGCCCTCAATTAATTAGTTGGATGGTGGCTGAGTCTCCAGATGGAATATGGATGGATGGTGGAGCCAGGTGGCCCACTCACAGGCTGTGTGGCCTTGAGCATGTGCCTTTACCTCTCTGAGCACCCATTTCCTCCTGAAGATCAATAAGATGCAACTTGCCTGCACTGTGCAGAAATGTCAAGGCTTGAAAGATAAAGAACAGCTGAGGAACAACTCCAGATTAAAGGAGAGTAGAGAGACATGACAACCAGCGCAATGCATGGTCACGAACCAGGGCCAAAAATGCCATAAAGAACATTATGGAGACAGTTGGCAAAATTGGAATATGTCGGTAGATTAGATAATAACATTGTTTCCATGTTAAACGTCCTCGCTTTGATAATCACATTAGGGGTTATGTAAGAGAATGCCCTTATTTTTAGGAAATATATCCTGATGATTCCGGGGGTAAAGGGCCATTGTGCAGAACGAGAGAGCAGAGCATTACACACCCGCGCAGGCGTGAGCACCCACGGTGGTAGGACAACTGTGGCAAAATGTTAACTGGTGCATCTGGGGAAGGGCATATGGGAGTTTCCTCAACAGACACCATTTTTTAAAAGGGGTTGTAAGAATGGCCCCGGCCACCGCTTGCCCGCAAGGCCTGCTGGGAGGATAAAAGGGGTGGGGGGTGGGGGGTGGGTGCGCTGCCGGCCGCCCGGCGCTCCGAGGGGCCCGGGGCCCACCTGCACGATCTCCAGCATCTCCTCCCGGCTGATGTAGCCGTTGCCGTCCAGGTCGTACATGCTGAAGGCCCACATGAGCTTCTGCTCCAGGCGGCCGCGCGAGGTCACGCTCAGCGCGATGATGAACTCCCGGAAGTCGATGGTGCCGTCGCTGTTGGTGTCGAAGGTGCGGAAGACGTGCTCGGCGAACTTGGAGGCGTCGCCGTAGGGGAAGAAGTTGGCGTAGATCTTCTTGAACTCGTCCACGTTGAGGATGCCCGTGGGGCAGTCCTTGAGGAAGCCCTTGTACCACTCCTGCAGCTCCAGCTCCGAGAACTCCGTGTTCTCCCGCAGGTCCTGCAGCATCTCGGGCCTCAGCTTGCTGTTCTGCTTGCCCATGGCCACCGAGCCAAGTCCCACCTGGGCCCCCGAAGGGGTCAAGGGACAGAGAGGGGTGGTCAGGCCCGCCTGGCCCTCTGATGTCAGGCCAGAAGGGTCCCTGACACCAACCATCCCAGCCTCTCCCTTGACCCAGTGAAAGAGAGTAGCTGGCCCCATGTCCCGCAGCCTACACCCTGGCATCCTGCTCTGGGACGTGCTCCACACCGTCCCCCCAGGCCACACACTGCCCTGGGGAGCAGACCCGGAGAGGGAGGAAGGGAAGGGAGTTTGCACTGGCTCAGGCCCTTCTCAGTGACGGCCACTAAGTCATCACCGGTGCCTACTGCAAGGGGACGTATGGGGGTCAGTCTCATTGTCCAGCTGAGAAGGCAGGCTCAGAGAACAGAGGCGACCTGCTTCAGGTCATGCAGCCATGGCAGGACAGGGCTGACTCCCAGGGTTGCCCACAGAGGTGCAGAAAGATCTTCCGGTCCTTTTCCCTCCTGCCTGCTCTCCCTCGTTGCCTCACGTTTGCCTGCGCACCAAAGACACCTGCAGTCCAGACCCTGCCCTGGTCCCTCCCCCACAGGCATGCCTGACAAGAGGCAGCACGGGGCAGGTGTGAGTCTAGGCTCCAGAACCAGATCATCTAGGTTTGAATCCCAGCTCTTTCTCTTATCAACTATGTGACCTTGGAAAAGTCCTGTAATCTGTCTCTGCCTCATCTGTAAAATGGGGTAATAAAAGTACTTACCTCATAGGTTGTTGCAGGGATTAAGTTAGTTAATATATGTGAAATACTTAGAACCATGCCTGCATAGATAAGCACTACGTAGTGCTAAATAAATAAAATGACTTACAGGTACCCACGTACCACAGAACTCATGCACAAACTACGCAAATGAATGTGTACTGATAACAAGTATGTCACCCAGCTAGCCAAATCTACACACTGGCCCCTCTGCCATTCACGGACCAGCCCACACCAGCTCATGGGTCACCGTGCCTCTTCACTTGACAACATTCCCTCTGCTCCACGACTCACACGTACTGACACATGGCATCACGCGCAATTCCCATCCCCTGTGCACCAAGACACACCAGCCCACGACCCCACATGTCTCACACATGCCATCGCACGCCAACTCACATGCCGCCACCTCTCACATGGCCAGCTGCACGTGGGACCTTCAGGCACCCTTGTCATTTTTCTTTCTTTTCCCAGGGGTGCTGCAAGGTCCCAGGAGAGGGAGCTGCAGCCTTTCCCAAATCAGCTAAGGGCCCCTTTGCTGGGGAGACCCCTCACCCATCCAACCTTCCCCACACGTACCTTTTATCTAGTCCTGAAGCTTCCCTCCATGCAGGAGGCTAAAGTGTGGAGGCTGAGTGGAAGGCATAGGAGAAAAGCCAGCCAGGCAGTTCTGGACAGGGATGTAGGAATGAGTGTTGGTGACCTCCCCTCCAGCTTGGGGCGGGGGGTCCTGGTGAGTGCATGTGCGCGAAGCTCTGTGCACATGAGTGGGCATGTGTGCTCATGCATGATGCCTGCCCCTGGTCTCCGCATGGCATTTGCTTCCCGTGTGTTTCATCCATGTCTGTGTGTGTGCATTATATGTGCATGTGATCCGGTATGCGCCCGTTGCAGTGTAAGAGAATGTGCCCGGTGGCCATTTGGGGAACCTGCGTGTGTCTTCAGTAGTGTGTCACGTGCCTGTTACTGTAAGTTGGTGCCCTTTCTTTCTAGAGCCCTCTCTTCTGCCCCAGGTTGAGGACCCACCACACAAGTGTGTGGGAAGGGACTGAGGAAATGCGTAGGGCCGTGGTGGGGGAGTGTGTCCCTCACTCCCCTCCTCAAGGTCCAAGGAACTGGGTCACCGAGGCGGGGGCAGAGAGATGCGCGGAGCCGGCGAGCTCCTCCAGTGCCCCCTCCTCCGTGCCACCCTCGGAGTTGCCCCTCCCAGGTGGAAGAAGACTCTGCTGTCCCCGCAAAGACCTCGAGTCCCCAAAACGGGAAGAGCCCCCAGCTCGACCGAGAAACCCGCCCCGGGAACCGCTCCGAGCCTCCCCCAGCTCTGGCCCCGAGCCCCCGCCTCAGTCCTTCCAGCACGCGGAGAGCGCCCGGCGCCCGGCCCCTCCTGGAGGGGGCGCTCCCG